AATATTATTTTATGGAAGATTGTGTGATTGAAAATAGGAAAATGAAAAATAGAACGTAATGGAATGAAATTGATCAGAAAGATTGTGTGGTTGTAAACTTATCCTAACATGCACGTTGAGGAATAGAAAAATAATTGTTTACCCAAACTAGTATCCTCAAAATATTTCTTCACAATTACATTTCACCATCTCAAAGAATGAGAAGTAAAAAGAGGATAAAATAAAGCAAACTCCTTCACAAAAATACTGCTTAACAACAATTCCAATACTAAAAACAAGAAAGTTAAACGCGAAAAAAAAGAAAAAAAGAAAAAAAAAAGTTGTCTTTTCTTTTGTTTTTGCTACATTGAAAACGTTCTAAGTAATAAACCAAGAATTAGCATCTTCACTTGTACTCAAAAGTTGTTCCAAATAATCAGCACCCAAATCCTCAAACACCACCATATTTTCCTCCTTAATTTCCATCCCCTTGCTCTTCTTGTTCCCACTCCTCTTCCTCAATGAATGTTTCCTTTTCAATGCAATAACAGGTGAACAATCTGCCTCAGTTATAAACTTCATTTCACAGAGAGACTCCCTCACCCTTTCCACCGGAAAATTCAGAATCGCCGCCTGGCCACGCAATGAAAACGCTGCTTGATCATAAGCTAAAGCAGCAGCTTCTGCAGTATCAAATGTTCCTATCCAAACCCTTATTCCATTCCTTGTTGAATCCCTTATTTCAGCTGCAAATTTTCCCCATGGCCTTTTTCTTACACCTCTGTAAGACTTTTCCTTGGTGGGTTTTTTGTCTGGTACTGAATTTACTTCATCTTCTTTTGTTTGATGATCATATGAATTTGATTCTGAATTTTCTTCTTGTGCAGCTTGTTCTAGAATACCATACAGAAGCATTTCTTGTGAATCATTTTCATTGAAAGGAAGTGAATTTTTCTCCAAGAATTTTACATCCCACCATGGAAAAGATTCTACTGATCCAAAGGATGATTCAGAGGAATAATTATCAGAATTCATGAAGTGAAAAACAGAGGAATCCATTTGAAGTAGGTGGGAATATTTTGAGTCCATTGTGGGTGAAACTGCCTTTTTATATACCTATGAGTTGGTGGGGGGGGGGGGNGTGGCGAAAGGAGGAGAGGGGAAGTGGGGTTAGGGGAAGATCTAAAATAAAAAATGCAAATTATAATCTGATAAGGGAAGGGGAGAACTTTGAAAGGGGGGAAAAATGGACAAGAGGGGGGTTTTATTGGGATTAATTATTAAATTTATGGACTAAATTATATTAGGCCAATATCACACGTGGGTCAAAGAAAGCCAGGCGGGCTGGTGGGTGACGTCATCATCAGATAAGATTTCCTTAGTCCTTTGTAGTGAATGGAAAATTTCCTGCAACCTATCTACGTTGTAGAAAATTTTGTCACATTATTTGACATAATATCACATTGTATTCATGTAATAAGAAATTATTACCGTCAAAAATAGTCGGATTTATCATATTGGATCATCAAGAACATATGAACCAAAGTGGAAGCGTACCTGAATCGATCATTGTTAATTAAGACGATTGAATCCTACGATTATGTCTTCCAAATGAACACGTAACTTTTTATTCTCTCTAATAATGGGAGGCAAAACAGAATGAGTAATATTTGTAATTTGAGGACCATAACCGTGTTTATATAGTGATTGCCTGTTAACCTAATTCATCCCATCATAAAATTAGGAACAATGACCTGGTCTCTACACATAAGAGCCCATACTTTAAATTAGATTCATTAAAGTCCAAAATATCGGAACCTTATTACATTACTTTTAAAGTGCATTATCAAATTTGATAGCTTTTAATTTAATACACAATAATTCAAATATAAACTCACGTAATCAATTAAAAATTCCTTACAATTCAATCATTTACTGTTTAAAATATAATCAACCTTCACATTCAATCATACCCCGTCAACAATGTATCCGTCGCCTAAGTGGGCAACATTTTTTGGTAAAATGGCTTAACTCATTTTTCTATAAGAATGTAGTGGCCAAATCTTTTATTTCGCTAGTTTAATTAAAGCAATTTTGGCATTGCTTTTTCTTAGCAAAAGCAGCTTTCTTTCAACAATATTATCTTGATGCTACCTTCAAAATACAAAGTAAACTTTTAAGTAGGCCAAACATTATCTACTTCGTCCAAATTTAGTTGATATCTTGAATTTGTTCAATTTAATATTAATTTTCGTCGTAATAAATTTTTATTTCAATAGTTATATCTTGAAAGTAACAAGGGGCTTGTCATGTTGTTATATATTTTGGAATTTTTATAGATTACATGCCTTCAAACTTAGGATACATTGAACCCAATTTATTAAATAATCAGAATAATTTAAACAAGAAAGTACTTATACATCTTGATCATATGATGCAATTAATTGATTAATTAAACAGGGACTAAATAATCAGAATAATTTAAACAAGAAAGTACTTATACATCTTGATCATATGATGCAATTAATTGATTAATTAAACAGGGACGGTTAAACAAGAAAGTAATTGAACATCTTGATCATATGATCCAATTGTGAGATATTGAATTTCATTTTCACAATTTTGATTAGTTAATTAAAATTTTATGTAAATCAAATTAATTTGTAAGTATCTATTAACTTGTCAAGTTGAAACGTTGATAATTAACAAAAGTTTTTATTATTCAACTATGACAATAAAAAAGAAATTTATTTAATGATATGATGTATATTCGTTAATATTAAAATAATTTTATTGGATTACCTATAAGAGAGGAAATAGTTGACCCCACGCTTTTGATTTTTTTTTTTTTTGGCCCATTTGTACTCGTGTAGAACACATGAACTTCGTAGGTATTTCTATGTTACGTAGGATCGAGCAACATAGCCTGTATGAGTAACCGCATGATTGACATAATACACACATGTAAGGGTCGAGATTATTTTATTCATGGGGGATCGACGTCAGGCATGTAAAGGTGCTGTCACCCGGAGTGTCAACAACACAAATCGTTTGGCTTTTTCCATGTTACGTATTTTTAACCAATTACGGTTCATGTTTCGAGTAGGCAAAATTAGAATGAACGAAATGTTGTATGTACAAAATATTTTATTTTATTTGGCTAAGAATATTTTGAGTTTAATAGATAACGTTTGGTAACACGTCATGGATGTCATTCGAGAAGTCACGTCTTTTGGATTTCACGGCAAAGAAAATTGAAATTCTTCTCTAATTATTGTCACAGTTCAATCGTCTTTCAATTTTATACCTTACTTTCTTCACGACACGTAAATAAATGAATATATCTCCTCTTAAAATTTAAAATTTATGACGTGAAAAAAAATTATTGAGGTCCTCGAATAAGATAATAAACAAATAAACAAACAATAGCTACAATAAGATAACGAGTAATTAGTACAAAATATCTTTACTTTTTAATATTATTGTGCAAAACTTAGGGACCTTTCATTTTTTGGGACTTTTACTTTTACCTTGACATTTTATTACGGAAATCATCATTTTCATCAATTTTTTCGTGTAAAATGACAAATATACCTCATATTTAAATAAAACAATAATAAAAAAAAGAAATGAAAAGTTAAAGAATAAATTGCAATTATGCTCTCAAGCTTTTTTAAAAGTGCAAATAAGTCCAACTAAATTATTAAAAGGACAATTAGAATAAAATGTCTACACATTTCATTATTATTGTGCAAAACGTCCATACCTTTTATTTTTTGACATGTTCATCTTTATTTCATATTTCATTGGTAAAATCGTTATTTTCATCCAATTTCTCAATTAAAAGTTGTAAAACGACAAATATGCACTCTTCTTTAAATAAACAACAATAAAGAAAAATAAAGAACAAATTACAACTATATTTCCCAAAAGTTTCAAAATTTTTTAATTATTGATTTGAAATTTATTTGTATTTTTTTAAATAAAAAGGGAGTATATTTGCAATTTTTCTTTTCTTTATTTTTGTTTATTTAAAGAAGAGTGTATATTTATCATTTTACAACTTTTAATTGACAAATGGATGAAGATAATGATTTTTGCAATGACATATAAAAATAATGGTAAAAATGTCAAAACGTAAAAAGTAGGGACGTTTTTCAAAATTAATAATGAAACGTAGGGATGTTTTGTGCTAATTACCCTTTAATAATTTATTTGGACTCATTTGCACTTTTTAAAAAAGTTCGGAAGTATGATTGCAATTTATTCTTTAACTTTTCTTTTCTTTTTTATTGTTTTATTTAAATATGGGGTATGTTTGTTATTTTACACGAGAAATTTGATGAAAATAATAATTTTTGCAATAAAAAGGTTAAGGTAAAAGTAAAAGTGCCAAAAAAATTGAAAGATAAGTAAATTTGCATAATAATATTGAAAGGTAAGGACGTTTTGTACTAATTATCCGTAAGACAATTTAGTAAATGATACTGTTACTAACTAACAAACAAACACCATGAAACTATAATAAGATATAGAAGAGGACTAAAAGAACGAAATTAACGTCGGTCTAAAAGGTTAAGCAATTAGAAATAATAAAATTATTAAGTAACTAATACTACAAATATCATGAAACTAGGATAAAGAATGATATTAAAGCCCGCTTAAATGCTTTAGCTATTAGAAATATTAATGTGATTAGTACTTGACTAAACAAACACCATGAAATTAGAATTGTACACAAAAGAGGATTAAAAGAATGGCATTAATGCCTGCCTAAAAGTTTCAGCTATTTACAATAGTTCAAAAAATTATATAAAATCTATCATAAATTGTTCATTCTAATAAAATGTTTGACAACTGTACAATATGAGTCGATATCTAGGGTTATTCTACAAGTACATCAAGATTTATATTATGATGTAGATAATATCTAAATGATATTTCATCATTGACTAGTGGAAAGATAACGTTTTTTATTTGTCAATAATGAAATGTCACTTGGACATTATGTACATAGGGTGTAAACATTGATGTACGTGTAGAGTAATCCCTATTTTTAATTGTCCCTCCTCTAGAATTTTAAGACCTTACTACAATTTTAAGGTATCACATCAAAAAATCGTAGTGAGATTTAATGGATTTTTGACACCCAAAATTACATTGAGGTGTCCAAATTATGGTTGAGACAGCATAGTTGGACATGTACAATTTTATTAAAATAAATAATAGTAAAATAAAAATTTATATTTTGATTTCCCAAATGATTCACGAGTTATTTAAAAAAAAAAAAAATCATGTATATACTCTAAACTCCTAAATGATTCTCGAGTTTAATAGTGAACATGAGAATCGGACTGATTTTAGTCGTTTTTCATTTTTTATTCATGTCTAGTTAATAGAATTAAAATGCATCCCACCCCACATTTAGGATTAATGTGTTTGTACTCATCAAATAATCCTGCTCAAAATTAAAGAAGCTCCATTTACACACGCAAGATAACAACATTAAGCTCCCCAAATGAAAATCGTAAGAACTATTTCTTGATTAACATCATCCAAAATCCAAGGCCTGTCAAGTGTCAATTCAAAATTGAATTTTATGGAACAAAAAGTCCAAATGCAGATCCCCTTGAAGTTCTTATTTTTTCTTAAAAAATAAATACATCAAAAGTCACTAAAACCAAGATTGAATAACCTCCCAAATGAACGGATACTAGGTAAGATAGTGACTTCTAATTCAAGAGTGAGTGCACCATTTGTTATCTTTGACAAACAAAGCTTCCTAAGCAAGTTCCAGGAAGGACCATTTTCAGACAGTTTTTAATGAGATAGCATGGATTCTATCGTCCAGATATAGCATGTTTGGTCGTACTTAAATGATAGAAAGAAGTCAAAAATGACTTCTCTTTTGCTTTTCTTTATACTATGAAGTCTAATGTAGATAGTATTCGATTAAATCAGTTCAAAAGATTCTATGACCTCTTTAGATAATTTAATACTAAATACGTTCTCCTACATTTCCTAAGAAATTATTCAAGAAACCCCATTTTAAGAACGACGCTCTTTTTGGCATATTTTAA